GCGCCGCCCTCGCCAGTCAAAGAGGAAATCCCCACTATACTTGGAACATGGTGGAGGTACCGGAGAGAGACCCCCGATGCGTCCCGTGGCGACCAGCGATTAAGTCGTGGACTACCGTAGACCGTCATCCGTGTTTCGTTGCCCGGCTAGAAAACCGGGACCGAGTCGCGCGTCCTCATTTTCACGACGGGCGATTAGAGAGACGCGGAACGTCGTCGTCGTCGCGGTCTCTCGATCAATCACAGCCGGAAGTATCGTCGATACTCCGCGCCGTCTCGCGCCGCGCCTGTGACAAATCCTTCCGGGACGTTCTTCTACCCCTCGTTCGTGTACCGTTCGACCGTTACCCGCGAGCTCCGACGGCCGAGAAATTAGTCACCGGGAGGTCACGGAGTGCATCGACGACGAGCACGCTGCGTGATATGTAAGGACGAGCGGACATCAGCTAGTATTATCCTCCACTTCCGTCGACCAACGCGACGTCTCTCTCTCCTGAGCGCGTGGCGACTATGTGACGCGATGAAGCGTCGTCCTGATCCTGCGACCCAAACATTCCTTCGAGAGTGACCGAGACCCGAAACTGACGAACCCCACTCCGCTATGGAATTCTCATGGGCGCTCCAGCATCAGTGCAATGATCAGAACGGGCGAAGCCATACGAGCGATCATCACGAGGACGCGAACATTATCAACCAGGCGAACACCCGCCGATTGCTCGGGGTAACAGGTAATCGGGTGCCATGTCCCGTGGACTTGCGACCACAGAGGGATGTTTTCTTTCCTGTCTCGCGAGTCGTGTAGATATTATCGTTCGTCGTGGGATATTTACGTTTCGGAAAATGTTTTCCAGGTTCAGGTTCGTCGAATTTTTCTCCGGTAATAAGGCTGCCTCGATCGGCGCGCGTTGATCGCTAATAAGAATTTTAAAAGACACGCAATAAAGTCGGCGTTAATGAGGAATTCGTAAGATCCGTCGTCACACCGCGATAATCCAGCGACCGATCTCCGCAAAAGAACAGAAAAACACGAGCTCTTTTTTTTTTTTTTTTATTAACAGTGAACCATGCACTTCTCATTTATCATCGACAGATGCATTCTTTATCAAGAGACATATTAACGATATGGTCGATGATATTATAAGCGCGCGTCAATGCTATGCATGAATACACATACGTGTGCATTTTTCCTCGTATCGCGGGAATTGTTTTCCAAGTATTCGTCAGGGATAAACGTTCTCTCCGCCGAATACTGCAAAATAATTCGTATGCATTTAGAAAGGAAAGTCCGCGACTTTATTATATTTATAGCCGGAATTGTCCTTGGTGTCTAAGGTAATTCTGAAAAAATCTCATCAACGCACAATCCTATTAATCACATTATTCTTATTTATAAGACCCGATTACACGGAAAAAAAGAATTAGCTTTCACAGCTGAAAAATTAGCTATTCGTATGACACAACTGAAATTTAGTTACCGGACCTGTTTTTCAGCTGTATGAGCTAATTCTTTTCCGTGTACGATTATAGAATTCATAAGAATTAATGTCCACAGCTAGACACTAGACCTGGCAACTGAATTTCAGTTGTATATGGATAGCTAATTTTTAGCTGCGAAAGTCGATTCTTTCCTTCCTGTATTATTAATTTCATCCCCATAACCGAACGAATCGCGTCATCTCGCGATCTCGAGTCCTCGTCCCCGTGTCACAGGGTCACGCGCCGAGTGTCGATACACGCTCGCGACCACACACGGCGGTTTAACACCTGTCCGCAACTTGTTCGGCCCCCCTTGATCGTCTCTTAATGGCCGTGAAAACGAAAAAGAGGGAACAAAGAGGAAACACCGCGCCCTGCTAATCGTTCGGGACACGGGCGGAACCACCGTCGGATTCGCGCTGTGGCAGCTGCCGCATTCGACCCTACGATTAACGAGGGTGAAATCGACAACCGAGGTCGATTAACTTGCCCTCTCTGCACCCTCGTCTCTCCCCCCCCCCCCCCCCCNACGTTTCAACATTCGGACGCGATACGATCGACGACAGCGTGATGTACTCGAGTCGTAACACGACGCATCGTCGTCGTGAGAGTAACGCACGTATGCGCGTTGATATTATTTTTCTACGGAGGATATTACGACAGCGGAGCCGGATATGCAGCGAGCTCTCAACCTCGCTCGTTTTATCGTGCAGAACGAAAGCGAATTAATTTTCATAGACGCGCGTCTACCGTCCGAGCGCGCCCGCGCCGTTGCATTTCTATTTGCCTCGCCGGAGAAAGTGGCGGTCTAGCCCCGTCGAGAGAGCCCGACGTTGTACGCGGCTGCTTTTTTCTCTCATTTATTTTTTTCTTCTTTCCAGCCAATTGGAAGTTGAAATGATCGCCGGGCGATTGTCTGAGCTAATTAACAATTGGACGCACCGTCGCATCGCGTCGCTCATCCGCCGAAACGATCGATATTCCCGCGAAAAAAGGGACGACGCGTATGATCGCGCTCGGTGAAAGTTCCTCCGTCAGCTCGCGTCCTTGCGAATCCCGCAAATCGATTGTCATTCGCGGGTCGTCCGTAATACCGTCTCGAGCGTCTTGAATTCTTATATTGTATATCGGGAAAAAAAAACTCGAGCGCGCGCCGCAGCCCCCCCGCTCCGCGGGAGAGTCACGGGATGATATTGATTATTCTAATCTCTAGGTATTGATACCGACTCGATAATTTATAACTGTGCGCATGGGCGCATATCTGGTGTAATGATATTCAGATTTAAACCGCCTCCCGTGCTCACGGGGGCGGTGTTTGGTCGATACCTTGATGAAGGGTTGGCTGGCAACGACTCATCCACTAACGTCCACCAGCTCTCACCCCCGCCAACTTCTTTCCGCGGACTCCAAGCGCCATGCACATTCTACGTCCTCTACGTCATTTGCCTGGTCGTTGAAAAATATTAATTTTTATCACGTTCGAGAGGCGCGTTCTTATCGCGACGGACGCAACGTGACGAAATCGTTGCCGCGAACGGGGTCGTCAGACGAAATTTTCGAGTTGCTGCTTCGAACTGGAACTCGACCGAGCGATCTCACATCCTCGGTCTCGACAGAAAGTATGATAATCGAAGAAAGAAGTTCTCCGAAGAGGACTGAGTTCCTTCGATGCTGGCTACCGAGTAAAGAAAATTGCACAGTTTCGAGTAAACACCAATTAGTAGTAATATAACATCGATGTTATTATTTTTCATTCAACGATGTAAATGCAATATAACACGTGTGATATATAACATTTGATGACATTACTGATGGTTGGTGTTTACCGAACTGTGCGTGTTTAATACTTAGCTAACCACACTTATTTTCGAATCTTTAATTCGCCACACTCCGGTCCGTGAGACCGTTAGACTTGGTCGCCTTGTCATTTTAATTAGTATTCTTAAGCTTGTAATGTGGGAATTGGAAATACAGAGGCTAGATGAGTTGTTTATGATGTCAGGTTAAGAAAATTATTTATGTTTAAAAATTAAATTTATTTTTATTAAAAAGAGTGTTTCAGAAAATATTTTCAAATGATTTTACAAATACGACTTAAAAAAAAAAAAGTAATATTCATTCGTTGTAGCGGGCACCTGATATTTGAAGAAGATAATAGTATGCCATGTAAAAACTGAAAAAGCAAGAAACGTTTAGCGGTCCACTGGACCGGAATGTGGCGAACTGGGGTTAAGTAACATGTGGCCAAATTTCAAGGAGGCGACACGATGATGTTACGATCTCGTTACTCACTCGGAAAGTGCCCTTATTCTTGACTCCCAACGCTCGAACGTCTATGAATGTCTGAGCGGAAGTAACGTGTTACAACGATTTAGCTTGTCTTGTGGACGCCCGAGCATACACAAAGTACGCGATCTCGTTTCTACATTTCCAAACTGGATCAGGACCATCGACTGACAATAATTAATTGAGGACGATCGCAATCGCGTGCGTCGTCTCGTCGTACGAGCTTTACTTTTTAAATTTCTTGAAATGCAATCTCGCTCAAAACAAGCGAATAATGACAATTTTTATTCTAAGTGATAGCGAAAATACTGTTATTCGAAATCGCGAAGGTGAATGTTTCACTCGAGCTTAGAGTAAATTAACTCCGAGCGTATGTACGAGCGAATCATCATTCGAATCTGAGTGACTTGACTGTCGCGTTACACTGAAAGAAAAAAGTGTTACATTCAAGTAAATATTTGCTGAGGAGCATTCGAATATTTTGCTTGAATTAAGTAAATGTTGAATGCAGCACTTTTTTTCTTTCAGTGTACTACAGTCAAGTAATATTTACTTGAATGTAACACTTTTTTCCTTCAATATATTTTTCGAGTGAAATTTCACTCCGAGAAATGCATAGACGCCTCATTAGTTCCACTGCAATTTGCAGCGCGAAAATAGCGATTGGATCAACGATTTTTCTCTCTGACAACACGATAATAATTGCGGCATCCGCAGAATTTCGGCACTGTCGTCACCGACGCTCCGCAGGGGAGAGGGAGAAGAGGGTTCCTCCGTTCATTCGCGCGCGACCGTTTTCCCTCGCTCGTTGACACTCTGTTCATTCGACTGCGTCGTTCCCGAGTCGCGATCATCCGTGAAATTCGCTCGTGTTCATTCAATAAATCGACTTTCTCCCTCGCTGAAGAGACTAACTCCGTCGTCGCGAACGTCGGAGTAGCTCGGCTCGAACGCTCGACGTTAACGACGTTACACCGCTCGAAATCTTTCCCACGTAAATGTCTCTCCCGCACGAACTCCTCTCTTGCGCCTTATGACGCAATAAGCGACGAGGCACCCGTGCGAAATATGCGTCATGGCAACCGATTCGCCGCGATATTTTTAATTACGCATTATCTTATTAGAATGGGAAATAGATACCGCTCGCCGATTGCCGTTGGGAATAATGACGTTCGCCCACGTTCTTTCTCGACGTAGATGAATTTTCATCACCTTAACGCGAAGTTCTTTCTTTTTCAGGCCGCGGCGACTTTGTCGGAGGGATAGACAACGAAGCCCTAGATTTCTCGCAGTTGGAGGATTTTATCAACAGCGACAGTGAGCAACCTGCGACGTGAGTCTGCGGAGAATATTAATTTCACATCGGTCACGTTGAAATATTAATTTTATGATCATTAATCATAATATAGCTGAGTCGAAATTTTGATGCTACTTCGACGCCTTTAAAAATGGTCCACGCCCACTTAGATGGCTTATAATATAAATACTTTGGCGATACTACACTTGTTGACAGTTCTCTCTTGAACTTTTAATTCTACGGATTTAATTTTAACGTTACTATAAAACAATCTATTTTAACGTTGAAGCAGCAGGTAATTTAAGACGTCATCATATAGTACGCGGAGAAAAACACATATTGTATTCAAATAAATGTTATTTGTTTTAAATATTTCGTAGATTTATATAAATATATCATACAAGTCCATTATAAACATCAAATTTATTCAAAATATATTCTGAACCTAATTAAGTTTAATACTTCAATCAAGAATATTAAATTAAAACAAACTTCGGCTTGTGCTCACTCAAATTAACCGAATTTAACTTTCCTTCGATAAAATTTATAATATATTCGAACAGAGAATAAATTCTTCTTTTGAGCACACATGTAATGAGCTTTTTTAAAATTTGTAATGAGTATAGTTTAAACTATTATCAACAAAATATTCTTCGTTAAAGATAACTATTAAAAAGTAAGAAAGTAAATTGAATAATCGCTTTTCTTAGCAGTAGAATATTTTTCTCTCTCTGTGTGTGTAGGAGTTACATCATTAGAAATAAGCCTATTTTACTATTTTAATTCCTACTGTGATGTACAATTAAGGATTTAACATGGAGCCAAAATTTCAACTTGGGTAATCGAAGTAAAAACTACACGTGCGTACGCGTCACGAATTTCTCTGCTCAGAGATAGAGATTCATGGATTGATTTTCTTTACTTTTGATCTTTGAAATATTAATTGCAAATCGACGTCACTTTTTTATTTCACATCATTATGAGTTCACGTGTTTCCTTATTAGTCGCGTCCTGGTTCGATAGCTCGATAAACGCGCTCGATGAACGCGGTTAAGAACGGAAATCCCGAAGCGAACACGTTTCAGAAAACGTTCAACTTGCGGCGATCGGACGGGAAACTCGATCTCGTCGAGCATCGCGAGGCGATTCGGTCTGGCGATGGAGTTCAACCGCGTTCGGAAGCCATCGTTAACGCCTACAACGCGCGTGTTCGTTACACGTGCGTAATTGCGTATCGCCGTGCGCGATGATCTCGAATATACTGAGAAAAAGAAATTGAAATTTTACGAAGTAAATGTTTCGTGACATTTCCCTTGATATTTATTAGTTCGAACAAATTTGACTGATGACGGAATATATATTTTTGCGAAATGTACCCAAGTTTTCTTATTAATTGGTTTATTTGCTGGGAATAAAATTTTACCTCGTTGTATTTAAATAAACGTTATACTTCCGTGAAATATAAACCTTATATTTCACGAGTAAATTTTTAAGTCTTCTTCTCTTAGTTTACTTTTCGCCTCGGAGACAAACGTGTCACGAACGAAACGATTTTCCCCGCTTCGTACGCGCTTCGCTATTTCCTTCGCTTTCTTTCTCTCTCTCTTTCTGTTTCTCTATCGCACAGTCGGACGTCACCGATTTTTCGTCTCTTATCCAGAGATATATATTCGGAGATATATTCCCGCGAGCGCTAAGGTCAATCGCGACGATCGAGTGTTTTCCGTAGAATTCCGCAATTGCGAAAACGCGGGGCCCGGGCGAGAAAACGCGCGCGCGACGCTCCCGCGGCGCGTACGTGCATACGCACCCCTTCTCGAATTATGCTAATTAACGAATTCACGGGTAATACGCTTGCCATCCAGTTGCTAGCACGAGCACGCGTTTCCTGCGAACGACACGATGTACATCAGACTAAATTCCTAAATTGCTCCCATCTCGACGCGACTCGGCGCGTATCCAGGCTACTCCGTCACCACGTAGAAATGCCGCCGCACGGCGATTATCATCGGAATGATCATTGTGTTTTGACAATGTTACTCGTCCTGGTCGATCGGGCGCGACGACGCGCGCGTTATGAGCGCGATGCGTTTGTTGATTTACACCTAGCGCTTGCGGTTTCACTGCATCATCGGTGCGTATGTGTGTATCCCCGAGCGAGCAGCGGTTTCAAAGCAAAAAGGCGCAGTCAAAAAAGGAAGGATGAATCTTTTCTTATAATTGTTGTTATGTTTGTGCGCGCGCACGAGCGCGTCTATAAAGCGAGCTTCTATTGCGTGACATTAAATAGCGGATGTCAGTGTGAAACACACTGGCCTTGATGGTCACCACACACACACACACACACACACACAGAGACAGATAGTAGACGTAGACGAGACTACACAACCGCGGGTTTTCAACCTTCCATTTAACATCGGGCACAAAAACATCTTATTCCAGACCTGATCGCGTTTACTGACGTAATCGCATACACCAGGAAACACATGTAACGTACGGCTTTGTACGCGCGCGCGTATGGCGCGTACATGCACGGCCGGACCACAGACAGATATCGCGCAGATAGCGAGCGCAGAGGTGTAATGATATAATGACAGAGGCAGACGGAACGGAATTGATGGAATCACTGCATGCAGCGCTAACCCTGGTAATCCGACTTCCAGCGCTCGCGTCCCGTCGAGCGGCCATCGCCGCTACGCCGGAATTCGAGGTTCGGCTTGATAAAAAGATTTAAAAAAAGTGAAGATGGAAAAGAAAACCCATTCGGTCGAGCCCGATACCCGAGCGCGAGACAATTTATTTCGTCGTCCTTCCCTGCGTGACGTGACATATAAAAATATATCCACGCGTTCGCTCTGTTTTTTTCCCCCCCTTTTTTACGAATCCATTAGACAAATTTTTACACTGGCTCGGTAAGTTACGGACCAATAAAGGATCGGTTGAAAAAAATTGGTATCAATTTAAGACTCATTTTCTCAAATACGAGCAAGAATATATTATGCGAAGATATCTTTTTTGTTCTTATATACATGAAGAAATTCTTTATAATTCCACTAAAGATATATTCATGTTATTCAAGGACAATTTTTTATGAATTAGTAGGAAAAAAGTATTGAATAAAAAGGACGATATCTTCGAACTAAGACAATTCTTAGTGTTATCAAATGTTATCAAGAATAATTTTCACGAATTGAGAGAAAATTATTCTTGATAACACGGATATATTTCTAGTGAGACTGTATAGAGTTTCCTCGTGTTAGAGCAAGTTTTATCTTCGTAAGATTATATATTCTTGCTTATGTATCTGAGAATATCTACAAAATTTAAAATATATCTTTACAACAACCGCAAGTAGGCTCTTAAAAAGGCTCGTTTGAAATTTATTAGCGTCATTTCGGATTCTGAAAATTCTCTTGCTCTCTCTTCCCTCCCCCCCCCCCCCCC